ATCAGTCCGGGAAGAAGTGGGAACATTTTGCACATTTTTCATTCAACTACTTCAATCATCTTTCATGCAGTTTTAGAAAAAAAAATAAAAGACGCAAATAAACAAATAATTCAGTTACTTTTCAAAAGGAAGACATGGTAGCACTTTATTTGATGGGGTGTGAATAAGACTGTTATAAACATGTAATAACACCTGTCATAAACATGGAGTCTTTATGAATAAATATGACTGTTGTCATAAAATGTCTTTTGGTAAATTGTGTTAAGACAAAGTTGACATTCAAAATGTCAACTTTTAAAACAAATTTATTTCAGATCATGATTTCTTGGTTAATGTCAAGTTGTCATAACAGACATTTTGAATAATGTCAACTTTGTATATAAAGTGTCACGATTTACAAAATGACACTTTATGACAGCATACACGTTTGAGCATTTGTAGATTTATTGATACATTTTTGGATTAACCAATAAATTGGATAGGAAAAGACGCTTCATACTAGATTTGTTTGTTGTTGTTGTTGCAGAATTTGAAGCAAAAGTTAGGGTTACGTTTTCAGCAGAATACATTTGCAAACAAAAGGTTTTTATTTATAGAAATGCATATGTCATATCTTTTTAGCGCAATTTTGGCTTAATTATTGCTATGAATATGTTGGGGGGTTTTTACCAAAAAGCCATATTTCGGTTTGTTAAGGAGTAACTAATTACTAAATTAGCTGATGATTATTTAAGTAATCGATTAATCACAATTGATACGATTAATCGTTTCAGCTCTAGTCTGAAATAAAACATAAGATCAAATCAGATGCAAATTTTCATTGTGCATCCATCAGATATAAAATAGTCCTATAGATCTATGCAGAGATTTTCACTTAATTCCCAATTTAGATCATTTAAATCACTGATTATTGATCCAAATACGACAACAGAGCAATAATCCGTATTAAACATCAAGTCGACATCAACTCCACTTTTAAATGTTTCAGAGTTTCTTCAGGGATTAAATTTTCTGTAAAACACATAAGAGCGTGAAAGAGTCTCTGAACCAAAACACTCTTGGTTTTGATTCTGGGTTCTGGTTCTGGGTTCTGGGTTCTGGGTTTTGGTTCTGGGTTCTGGGTTCTGGTTCTGGGTTGGTGAGAGGTTCAAGAAAACCTCCTGCAGTGATTTAACTGGATGCAGGTTGTTGAAGGGATGATCTCAGCGAAGCGTTCGACTCCATAACACATATCCGCTGCTGGTTCTGAGACATTTGTCAGAACCTGAAATCCAGCCAAGATGACGTTTAATGTCAGTGAACCAAGCCGACTGTGGGAACCAGATAACAAAAGAAAACCCAGAAATAAACATTCGAGACAGAACCTTACCAGGAATGTCTTAGAAATCACGTAATTACTCCGGGGTTTTATGCAAAACCCTGTTTGGGTCCTTAAAGTCGGGAATCAGACAACTATTTGCGAGACACTTCAGTGAAGACGTCAGTCCTCAAGTCTCCATATTTTAGATGCAGCGTTGATGCAACACATGTTGCACAACAATGTTTATCCTGACTGCAGTTCATCTGCGCCGTTACATTTGTGAGATCAGCAAAAGTTTTCCACTTTATACAGAGATTTCTTAGCCTCCACCACCAGTTTCAGCCTTAAAGGGGATCTATTATGAAAAATTCACATTTTGCAGATTTTCAATCTTCAATTTGAAACTCAACTGCCTCTAGAAACAACCCAAGCTCTTGAAAAACAATCACTAAGATATTTATTGGCAATAAGTTTAAGTTTTTTGGTGTATGGAAAATGAGCCGTTTCAAGAACCATCTGAATGTTAAGACACATTTGATGGGTCCAGTGCCGTTACCTATCAACCAAAGCAGAACAGCATGTTTGCTCAGCTTCTGTTGATGTACAATGGCTGCTGGAAAACCCCACTTTTGTTGTTGACTTCTAGAAACCGTTTTTGTTGGTTGTGCAGAAGGCTCTACTTCTGCTTTTCAGAGATGTACAAATGATGTACATTTTCATGTGCGACTGTAAACACAGAGTTGGGGGCGTGGCCAGCAGCAGCGAATTAGGATTTAAAGTGACAGGATGCCAAAACAGCTCATTCAGAAACGAGTTCAGAGCTTAGCAGAGTGAAATCTCATCATCTAAGAACGATTTCTGCAGAAAATGTAAAGAACCTGTTTTGTTCAAGGTGTTGAAGGAGTGTACAAATCTTCTGCCATTTGACCAAAATCGTCAGCTTAGAAAAAAATTCGGAACAAAAAAAATATAATTTTTAAAAATGTAAAATTAACTAAGCAAATAAAGTGAACTGGAGCAAAAACTGCAAATAGGATTTGATGGAGAAAGAAATCCAGTTTGCTTTTTACTTTTGGGCTCAATTGAAGTAAACTAAAAATGTACTTTAGTCTATTTTGAGCGATGAAAACCATCTCTAGGTCAGTCTTCATTTGAAAACATTATCTGAGTTTTAATACAGCATCAAAAAGCAGATTTAGTTCCACTAAATGTAAACTTTAGAGTAGATCTTAATGAGTAGATGTGCTCCTAGTTACCATGATAACAAAAGAAAACCGGAAAGCTTGGATTAGATTATCACTTTATGTGGCATATAACATTTCTCTAAGTAAATTTTAGTTGAAAAGTTTTTTTTCCCAATTTATACTATTTATTCTAGAGGGGACCGCACAGAATCAGCCGAACTTCACTTTGAACAGCTTTACCCTAAAGAAAATAAACTTTTTATGTCTCTGTGTGACATTGTTAACTTTGCCAGGTCGAAATAACTAAAAACATTTTTACTCAGAGAGAGGAGTCGCTTTATGTGGAGAAAATCAGAAAATCTCGTTATCTTGAAAACAGCTTTTCTGCTTCTATTTTGAAACTAAAACCCAACATCAACAAGACAGGAACAAATTTATGAAACTAAACAATTTTGAAACAAAGTCTAAAAACATCAGCAAAAACCAGTTTCCTTGAAACCAAACTGCTTGTATCTAACTTTTCCTGGTAATCTTCAGTCGTTTCCCTTAAAAGAAAAAGTATCTTCTGAGCCAGTCAGAAACCAGCCCCCCTGCTGCTGCAAACAGGACCAACTGGGTTATCTGTGAGGAGATCACAGCTACACTTCAATGTAGCGTTTAGCTTAAAATGCTGTATTTGCATTTGGCACAACAAAACAAACACACACACACACACACAAAAAAACTGCCTGAAAGCTCAAAGCTGCAGCAGAACTGATGAGAAATATCTGCTGGCTCAGAGGTTTTCTTCTTTTAATTTTCCAGAAATGTTTGCCTGGAGAAACGTGGATCCCAGTGGAAAGTCAGGGCTTTCCAAAAATGACTGAACATGTTGCTAACGTAACCGCTGTAACACTGTGAATACATCCCACAGACACTGGGAACAGAGCGCTGCAGTGTTTCCCTCGTTCCCGCTCACCGCACGCCTCGAAACCCTCTGCAGACCTGTAATTTGGCTCCAGATCTATAGATCTACACCCAGAAACTATCCGTCAAAGACCAACTGTTATTTTTGGCTCATCCTGAGCAGAGGGGTCGTCTGCGACCTCCGACCTCTGACTTTAACCTCCACCTTCTCCCTCTAATCTTCTGATTGTTTCCTATCTTTTTGTTTTTTGTCCAAGGAAAGAAAAGTTGCTTTTTCAGGAGAGTTTTTAGCCGCAAATTCATTTAAATATTTAGATTTTACAGAACTAAGCGATCAGGTTCCTCATTACTTGATTAGTTATGGTTTTTCACTCAAACTACACTGCAAAAACACAAAATATTACCAAGTATTTTGGTCTAGTCGAAATATCTTAGTACATTTGGAAAAAGACTAAACTAACTTACAAGTAACTTTTAAGTAAGAAATAGAAACTTCTTTTAAATCAATAATTGGTTAATATTTATGAGAAATAATTTATTTACTATACAAAAATTTTCTATATCTTGCTGAAAAGTTACCTCTAAGTTACTTTTGTCTTGTTTTAAGTTTATTCAGATATTTGCACTAAACTTGACTGAAAATCCTTGGTAAGATTTTGTGTTTTTGCAGTGCACAACTCAGACAGACAAACATTACTCTACACTGCAAAAACATAAAATCTTACCAAGGAATTATTTTGGTTTTATTTCTGGTGGAAATATCTTAGTACATTTGAAATAAGACAAAACTAATTCTCAAGTAACTTTTCAGCAAGAAATAGGAGCTTTTAAATGTTAATATTTCTTGACTATTGACTGAAAAGTGGTAGTTTTTTTCCCACGTTAATCTTGAAATAATCGACATCATAATATTAACTCAGAACAAGCTCCTATATCTTGCTTAAAAGTTAATTCTACGGTAGTTCTGCCTTATTTCAAGTGAACTAAGATATTTCCACTTGAAACAAGACGAAAACGACTTGGTAATATGTTGTGTTTTTGCAGTGCACAGAGGAGAAATGAATAAAATGGATTATGTGCGATAATTTCACCTCGTCCAGGCAGGAAATCCAGCCCAGAGAGCGGAGGGTAATGAAGCCCAGGGGAGTTTTCCTCCCATGAGTTCTGGTGGTATGCTGTATCCTGTGACCCGTTAGATTCTCTGACCCGATTAGAAACTTCACTCTGCTCTCTTGGACCTTCAACACAACCTGGACCCTCATTTCAGGAGGTAAATAGGCTTTAAGGCTAAACTGAACCAGAAAAGCAGTAATTACTAACAGGCTTCCTGCCCAAAGCGAACAGCAGCAAAGAAGCATCTGAAAATATTAAAAAACCTCTAATCTGATCTCAATCCACATGTCAGGTCCTTTAAATTACGTGACTCTTGTGTACAGTAGATTAATAATTCACAGATTAATCTGTCCTTCAGGGAAGAAGTTGACCTGCGAACTTCAGCAAACATCTGAAGATTTTATGCATTTTAATCAGTTTACATGTTTCTCCAGTGAATTACAGTGAAATAACAGCTCGAGTTGCTTATTTTCAATGACAAAGAGGCCGAGACTCACCGGAGAGGAGCAGGCAGGGAGGCGATGAGCGGCTGAAGGAGTGAGATCATGAGCCAGCTGCAGCTTTCTGACAGACTCTCTGCCTTTTTCTCTCCCTGTGTGTGTGAGGTGTGGCTCCAACCAGGAAATCCGCCCTCTTTTTTCACCAAAGACCTTCATTTTTCTGTTTTCTCCTCCCTTTTCCTGCTTCTGAACGGCCGAACAGCGCCCCCTTCTGGCCTCACAGTGATCTGAGAACAACACGCAAAAAAAAACACAACTTTTCCTGTTTTTCTGTATTTGTTGATAAAAAAGGAAAATGTCTGAGACCGAGCAGTCTAAACAGTGGAAAATTTATCAGAAGAAAATTCAGAAATCTTGAAATTAATTTCAAACTTTGCTAGAAAAATAAATACATTTTGAGATTCAGCTCAAAAGTTTTAGAAAAAACAAGAAAATAAAAAACTTTGCTGGGGTGGAAAAAGTTTATGAATTTGAAAATTTGTGAGAAAAGCCACAGTTATCGAGATCAATCTTAATTTTGGGGAATTTGATAGGAAACCTCGGTATTATTAAAATCAATCTTAGAAATTTTCTATAAAACCCCCCAAGGTATTTTATGAGTTTCAAAAGCGGAAGATGTTTCCATTATTTCTGAGAATAAAATAGAATACAATAGCTGTTTGTTTGTTTGTTTGTTTAATCAACCACACCGCCATCCGGCTCTTCTTGAGCCACATAAATAAATAAACTAATTAATTAATAAAATCGTTAATATTATATTTTTAACCTCATCGTGTGACCACATGGTGCACATGGAAATAGGTTAGTGTGGGTACCAGTGTCGCTCATTACCAAACTAGAAGAAATGCAGCCCAGCGTACCGGAAATGTTATTTCCTTTCAAAATAAAACACACTTGCTTAATATGAAGTAAGTGTAGTTATATTTTTTATGTAATGAATACATTTAATTTATAGTAATAGTACATTTTGTTTTTACTAACATCTATTTTTCTTGCTATGTGGATGGAAACTGAAAGAAAATTGCAGCCATCATCTTTTTTCATTTTTAAAAAGCTTTTCTTTTTTAAAAATTTATGTACTAAAACAGATTTTGATTTGTCAAAAACAATCAAATGTCACTTTTCAAAAGGCTAGGCAATACTTGCGGCTCTAAATCCGTTTTATTTACCTGGACCGCCGGAAAAAATTGTCTTCCTCTCTTATTTGAAGTTCTCAACCGGAAGTGCTTCTGTATAAAACTACGAACTTGACGCAGAGCTCGTTGAAACTGCGGCAGAACCTCAGCGGCACCACCTGACCCACCGGCCACAGAAAGAAACCAGCGGAACAAAAGGAAAGGGAAGCATCCTGGTAAAACAGGTACAAACATATTTACCTCCTCTGATGATTAAGAATTTTATGTTTAATATTTATTCCTGTTTCTTTTTAATATTCGCCGCGTCTGCGGTTAAACTAAAATAAAATTACACTACTAAAATAAGGAGCCACTCGCTCTATTAGTCTAGTTTTGATTTATTTAGTGAAACTTGTTTTGATTTGTTTATAGTTTAATGGACTGAGTCGTGATTCCTGCGCCGGCCAACGCCCCCCAAAACCAATAATCAATAATCAATACCTCCAACAGCCGAGACAGCGGCAGATTTTAACCAACACCTTTGTGCATTGGTCGCCGTGCTGCCTGCAGGTTTTTATTGGTGCTGATGTGACGGAGCTGACGCAAGCAGGACGCAAATAAAACCAGCCTGAAATAAAACCCGCAGAAATCTGAGCGCATTTCCGTCTGCGGTGACCCAGTTTTTCATGTCAGGGATGATCCGCATCTGTTTGAGGACTGATGCAGAACCACACCCGGCTAACAGTAATCACCGCCATCATCTTCTCATTTAGCTCCACTGGGAGCCTCCATATGGTCTATTCTGGACTCTGCGATTCAAATATATTCTAGTTTATTTTAAATGCTGATTGTTGTGGGTTTTTTTATTGCTAAAATGTATCAATAAAATAAAAACACAGCTGGGTCATGTAGTATTGGTTTTTATGCCACCATTTTACAAAATAAAAAGCAAAACATGTGACTCGTCCTGATTTGGGAGCTACTCAGTTGATGACGTCACAAGAGGTAAACTATATCAAGCTGTAGGAAGAATTTTGATTTTGATTGATTTCATCAGATTTTGAAGCTTTTTTGTTGCATTTGAGTTACCAGGGATTCAACTGTTTGGCCCAGTTAAAGCTGCAGTATGCAACTTTTCTAAAATATGTTTCTTTTTTTGTTTGTTTATATTTGTTGCAACTATCACCATGTCACTGTTATGAGATAAATAATCTGTAAAAAGATCAATCTGTCTCAGTTCACTGGAAATAAGACAAACGTGACATTATAGTAACTTTTCAGCAAGAAATCTGGGGTTTATTCAGGTCAATTCATTAATATTGATGAAAAAGCTTTAGATCCGCTGTGCCGTTACCTAGCAAACTATTACTTTTTAAAATCAATATTAAAGGTGTTATTGACTTAAACCAGCGCCGATATTTTGCTTAGAAGTTACTTATAAGTTAGTTTTGTCTCATTTCAAGGGAACTAAGAATTTTGTATTAGAAAATTGACAAAAACACTGCAAAAAATACGATTCAGCTAATAATGCAATGTAATTTTGCTCTGTATTCTTTTCTTTTTAACAAATTAACACGTAATATATTTTAAGTACAAGGTTCAGAAAAGGAAAGTTGTACCATTTCTTAACTCGTTGGTCAAGATGTCCATTTTAGTTTATTCAGCAACAAAAACAACCCTTCCCTTGTTTATGTTTGAGTCAAAGATTACTAAATTTACTATGGCTAAGGAAAGAAAACAACTGCTTTGTACAGAATATTTTCTATTTAAGAAATACATTTGTTATTGAAAATTGCATACAAAGAAAAACAAAATGTCTGCATCAGCTCCATTTCCTGGTTTAAAACATTCCTACACTGAAGAGGAGGTGAAAGTAGCACTGCAACATATTTCTAATGAAACAAAAGTAAAAAGTACTTAGTAAAATGTGTACTCAAGCACTAAATAACCGACCAAATCATTAATCATTTAATATTTAAAAATTACGTCATTAAAAGGACCAACATATTTAGCATTATGGCATTTTAAAGATGAAAATGACAATTTATATAAGTAGCAAAAAATAACAAAATCAGACTAACATTTTTCCAAATCAGTTTCTGTCAATAAAAAACTTATGAAACTTTAACAAAAGCTGTAGATGTGCATCTGGTCAATTTTTGGTTAAGACACGTTTGTTTTTCAATCAGTGGGAAGAAAATCCAGAGATTTGACTCTGGTAAGAGTAAAAAGTACAGCGTGGTTAAAATATTCCTAAACGTGTATTTTTCCAAAAACATTACTCGGCTAAATGTCATTGAGTAAATCTGACCAGGTTCTATCCAACTCTGCTCATCTGAGTCCAGAGTCCACAAAGAACTGCTGCATGCGCCACTCTTGGCCCCTGGGCCTCACCTTGAACACCGCTGTACGTCTGTTCATGTTTCTTTTCATCGTTTTTGTTTTCAGACTGCGACAGGATGGAGAAATCCAGCAGCCAGTACGACTCGTTCCTCTTCTGGAGGCAGCCGATCCCGACCCTCGACCTGTCAGAGTTGGAGGATCTGGGATTCGGCGATCCGATGAGCAGCAGCAAGGCGAAGGACAAGCAGCTGCGCGGACAGGACGGCGAGGCGAGCAGATTATTTTACCAACTGTTTGAGTTCATTGGGTCATCCTGTCCAGAACCTGCAACATCTTTACCCTTGTTTTCCCTGCAGGACGAGGAGTTGTCTGAGTTTTCCTCCTTTAATTACTGGAGGGCTCCCATTGCTGATGTGGACGCTCTGCTGGCTGACCTGAACCTGCTGCACTGAGCCCGCCAGAACCTGAACCCAGATCAGCCCGACTTCATCCAGAACCATCAATAATCTGAGACTACACCTCCTAATTCTGCAACCAGACTAAAGTTCAGCTGATTATCCAAGGTTATTTATTTACATCTCAGCTTGTTCAAGTTTAATTATTTGGATTTCTGCTACACTTAGAAATGCCTCATATGTTTAATCTAAAATTAATTTCATCTGCACATTTTGGCTGCAGGATCAAATGACTTCCTGTCCCATTTCGTCTGATTCATCTGGTATGAAATAAGACTTTAACTATTTAACTATTCCTGCTGTTTGATTTTTGTTTTATGTGTTAATATTTGTTCCTCTTTTGTTTTCTTAGGATCTGCTGTACCAACAGCAAATCATCCATGTTTTTATTTATGCATGTATTTATTTATTTTTCTCACTTGCAAGACTGAAACTTCAGAACAGACCTGACACCAGAAATAAAATGCTTCTCTTTTTTAAAAAAAGAGTCAAGTCTGATTTATTTAAATAAAATGTAGCAACTTTTGTAGCAAAAATAATTAGAATCTGAGCAAAACATTAAAATAATAAACTTATTCTGTATATGTGGAGTAAGTTTAGACTAAAGCACCATAAAAACTGAATTAAAGCAAAATCCAGACAGTCACACAGTATGATTTTAATGACTTGTATTTTATTTCATTAAACAAGTATTTTAAAGTAATAAAAAAAAATAATAATAATATTTGGAACAGAAACATGTTTACTTTTACATGACATGGGAGGAGAGGGAAGGCATTTGAGTACAAAAACATTGTATAATTTAATAAATTACTAATCACACCAAGATTCAAATAAATTATCAGTAGAAAATGACAAGTTAAAATAAAAATAAAAAAGTAATCCAGTTGTATATTATTTCTACTGGTTGAAACGTGAACTATGCGTGGATTGTTGAAGCAGATAAAATCAGTAAATAATAAGACAGAACTAACTAGATCTCTTTTATGTTTGCTTTCGATGAGGTTAAAAGTATAGTTTTTAAATAAAAATACAAAAAAACGTATTTGCGTATTCACACATTTGTCTTTCAAGTTTAAAAAATTATAGCACTCACTTTGCAAATAGTCTAAAACTAAGTAGTTTCCATGTTTAAATATGTTTATTTTGGGGAGTTAAGCTATACTTTAATTAAATTCAGTTCTACGGTAAATTCAACTCCTACATTTTTTAAACAGTCTGATTTTTTCCACCCTGTTCTTGAATCTGAGCGTCACATGCTGCAGTAAACTGCTAAGCCCCGCCCACAAGGAGGTTAACGTATTATGGCTTCTACCTCCGGTGTCGCGCCGCCGCCATATTTGTATCAGAAAAAACACAATAATCGAGAGTTTTTAAACGGCTCTTCGGCGGGTAAATCCCTGCCAGACCATCACACACTCCTGTTGAAATACGGTTACAGGGTTTACCGGGTAGCAAAAGAGGTAAAAACTAACGGAAATGTAACTTTTTAACCATTTGAACGCTTGCGGGCTAACGGCTAACATAGGTATGTGCTAAACAGTAGATTGAAAAAAGTACGCATTTCCTGCCACGACTTTCAAAATAAAAATGGGGCGGTGATAACTGCTACTTTGGTGAAACTTTTTTTTACTTTGGTGTATTTTGACGCTAAAAAATATGTACGCCTTAAGGCTTTGTTTTGTAAAGTCCAAATGCTTAAAAAATGAAAGCCTCAATTTATAAAGGCTTTAATTTCTTTAATATGTATTTATATATACATTTATATTAAATCTACAAAGAATTATTCAAATATTTCAGTGGCATGTATGGCACACGTTGTGATCTAATATAGTGTGCAGCTCTGAATTTAATACGTCTTAGATAAACTTTAAAGCTGAGATGACAAAGTATTTCTGGAATAATTTTAATTTATATGAAATATTTTGACAATAGTTCAAATATTTGACCATATTAAAAACTAACGGAATCGTATAAATTGGAAGACGAGATAAACGCTGCATTTTTGTGACATTTTCCTATATTGAAACAAGGAGAACTAGTCTTATTTTGAAGGCTCAATATCAACTTCCGGCTTCGCAACTGCTACCGATCGCTAACTTTCAGCAGTAAACAAGCTCTGAGGACTACGACAAGCTACAGTGGTCCCAAATGCCCGTTTTTAGCGAATTTTGAAACAGATTCTTCGCATATCGGGCCCATGCTACGTCTCAGAGAACCATAAAATCGCACAAATCCTCTTCACGCGGCGAGGTTTGCGCTTCTTAGCCGGCTAGCTTGCTAACATTAGCAGTGACGAGCAGCCTGGTTGGACCCGAACAAACCTGAACGCGGTAAGTACCCGCTTTGCCGTCCTACGCCAGGAGAAGACTCATAGTTTCCGAGCTTTCTCATATTTAAAGATTACAGAAATAACCACCAAAGGTGGAACAATGTCGCCATACACTCCGGTAAGCGCTTTGGCGGTGCACGCTTGCAGAATGCAACTTAACCGGATGTGGAAGTAGTTTTTTCTCCGTGTGTAAAATAGGAAATTTCTGTGTGACTTCCCCCGGAAAACCAACAACTTAATATCAAACAGTTTCCTGTCGGTGCTTTTGTTTATTTCTCGGTAGCACCGACCGAGATGTTTACATGTAAAATGCCGTAGAAAGCAGCTTAGATGGGGGGACACGGGGTACGTGGCACATGGCGGTCTATTTTCTGGCCGTGAAGGCGCGTAAAATGGCTCCTCTGCCGCGGAGACAGAAGTCTCGTCCCGCTCCGCTGTTTCGCAATAACAAACACTGTTTGTTCGCAGGAGTTCCATTGTCGGACGGGACTTTTAACAGTTACAAAAATATAAAATTATCATTATAAACTCACAGAAGGTCCTCAAACTAATAACTCGGTTTACGAAATGGTCCCACTTTGATTCTTAAGAGGTTGTTTCTCTGTAGTTTTAGCAGAATGAAGGTAATGGGCTAAACGCTTGAATGTGAGTAATTCCATAGTCGGACACATATAAATATGTATGCGTGGTCCTGTTTATAAAACTATATTTTGCTTTTAGAAATTTGCTCTTGAACCGGAAAAGTTGTTAAATTTTTTAAAAACGAAATTATTGAAACTCTGGTCAAGTTTTTATGTTATTGTAAATGCAGTTTGTTACTGAAAGGCGGGGTTTTTGTCCGATAAATGGCACATATATAGCTATACAACCCCTTTACAGTGAATTGTGAGGGAAACTAATGCACCTTTCTTTTTTAAAAGCAGTTTTTAAATTTTTATTTCTGTTGAGAGTTTTACTGAAATAAAATGAGGTTAATTATGTTCTGGTGTTTAATAAGCTGTTAAAAGTCCACTTAGGCTTTGTTAAATATTCACACTGAACATAAGAAAGGCATCATTAAACTTTTTTTTAGTGGTAGATTTTATAAGCTTTCAGCAGAATTAAAAGAATATTTTCAGACATAAATAAATCAGTTTTTGTGGTTACTAATTCCCAAAACATTTGAGAACCATTAAAACCATTGTTTTTTGTTTTAAACCAAAACATTTAAAAAACTGTTTTGGTTTTACATTTTCGGGAGAGAAAAAAAAGCTACTGTTTTTACTTTGATCTATTTTTAAACTGCTGTTAATTCACTTTTCTTTCTGAAAAACTCAATAAGTATCTAGATGTAATTATTTTGGAGTTATTTTTAGATTTTATTCATGTAGCCATCACTGCCTGTGTCTCATTTTTATGTTTTGAGCCACAACATAAACTGAAAATACAGCCATATTCAATAAATTACGTTGTTACTGAATGAAGACTGATGTTTTCAACCCTTTATTTTTGTTAGTTAGGATGGTTTTCTGCTTAAAGCTAATGAAAACACAACATTTAAGATTCCATATTACAGATATGAGATCAACAAATTTTGTTACAGAAATTATTCAAAAGGTGCTTTTAATCTGACGGATCAGAATTCATCTTGTAATTTACAGAGTACGGCTCATGCTACTAATCTAAAATCAGAGTACTTTGGATGATAATAAGCACTGGAAAGTGTTTTTTATGAACTGCAGCTCTGATGTGTCTTAGATGTCGCTGGTGGATCTGGGGAAGCGGCTGCTGGAAGCGGCTCGGAAAGGAAACGATGACGAGGTCCGAAACCTGATGGCCAACGGAGCGCCGTTCACCACCGACTGGGTGAGACGCCCAGAAAACTCCTTTGCAATAATCTCTTTTACCTCTAAATTATGCAATGACTTGATAAAAGTAAAGCTTTTTTCTCATTTTGTCTTTTCCAACCACAGATTTTAATGTATTTTATTCAGAGCTGCAATTAACAATTTTTTAAATAATTATTGATTATTTAGATAATCAGATTAAAAAAAAAAACATTTGGCAGACTTTTCATTTGACCTCTAATAATTTTTAATGCAATATTAGAAATACATAAAAAATGCAAACAGACAATAACTGGGTTCCTTTTTTTAAATAAAAAAATAAACACTTTATTGCATAAATGCAATAACATGGCATTCCTGTAGCGAACGTTTGATCATTTGTGGAATGATTGACTAATTTTTAGATTAACAGATTGATAATCGAGTGACAAAAAGTTTAGGCACCTTTTTTCACTCAATTATCAATTGTAGCAGATATTTTAGCTCTTAATTTATTATTAAATCAGTTAACAGTTGTTTCAGTAATTGATTAATCACAACTAATTGTTTCAACCCTAATTATATAGGAATTTTATGTCAAATTCCAGAAAACTATTTTTTTTTCTTTTTTTTTCATATTTTCTGCAGAAATTGTGGTAAAATGGAGAAAAGAGTTGGTGAATACTTTAGAAGAATCTGAATACTAAGAATGTAAAACAGAGTTTAAGTGGTTAAAAACTTAAACATATTAAATTCATTCAGTTGTGTTATTACAATATTTATTTTAATGGCTTTTGTCTCTTTTTGATCTCACTTTTCCACACTGACCAGTTGAAGCATTAAACATCTGTGACATTCACTGCTGTGATGTCACAGATGCTTAATCTGATTTCTTTCTCTTCTTCTTCTTCTGTTTTCCACAGTTGGGGACGTCGCCCCTCCACCTGGCCGCCCAGCACGGCCACTACTCCACCGCCGACGTCCTGCTGAGAGCTGGCGTCAGCAGAGACGCCCGAACCAAAGTGGACAGGACCCCGCTGCATATGGCAGCTGCTGAGGGACACACAGTCATCGTAGAGCTGCTGATCAGGGTGGGACTAAAGGACTGACTGGTTGCAGTTGGTTTCAGTCGGCCATCTTTTCTTTACCTTTATGACATCACCAGCGGCGTGATAGATTCAAAGACCAGAAAATAGTTGGACAGAACTGTGTTTCTGGACTCTCCCTGCATTTAATCTACATAGACAGAGCAGATAGTGCTAAATATTCAAAATAATAAACAATAAAAGAACTAGTTGATAAGGAATAAAAATAACTAGTTTATATACAATAAAAATTGCTTATAAAAAATAGACAGTTTACGAAGAATTAAAAAAAACTAATTTATAAACAATAGAACAACTTGTTGGTTTATATACAACAGAAACAACTAGTTTATAAACAAAGAACTGGTTTATAAAGAGTAAAAATAACTAGTTTATAAGCAATAGATGAACCAATTTATAAATCAACAAATTTATAAATAGCAATACAACTGGCTTTAAAACAGCAAATCAACCAGTTTTTAATTAATAAAACAGCTAGTTTATAAACAGTAAAGCAATTAAAAACAAACTGTTTATAAACAATCGGAAAAATAAAGAGTCGATATAAAAACCACAAAAACTTTAAATGTAGAAAATATGAAGTAGTAGTAAAAAGTTTTAATGATCACATGAAAGTTTGTGTGAAACGACTAAATGTTGCATCATGACTTTTACTCTTTGCTCTAAATGCAGACGACCAGATAAATTCATGTGAATCAATGTTTTTAATCACTTTTGATAAATCCGCCTTCAGAGCGGTGCGGACATCAACGCCAAAGACATGCTCAAGATGACGGCTCTCCATTGGGCGGCGCAGCACGGACACCACGGCGTGTGCGACACCCTCATCAAACACGGCGCAGACGTTCACGCGCGCAGCAAATTCGAAAAGACGCCATTCGACATCGCAGCCGACATCCAGAACACGGAGCTGATGCTGATGCTGCAGGTGAGAGAAGCTGCAACATCCAGTCAGCTTAGCTTTTTTCTGCCAAATTAAGTTGTTTTTAATGATTACAGCAGCTGCAAATCATCTTAAACATTTAGTCTTTCTACTGGATGCCACATCAAAGTGCCAACTTAAGATCCGCACCAACAGAATAATTATAAAACTATAGTTCAATCCACTGCAGGAGCTAATTAGCTAAATTAGCTATAGCATGTTGCACTTAGCCAGGTGTTTGCTTACAGGAGAGCATGCAGAACCAGGTTAACATGAACCAGGTGAGCATGAATATGGAGACGACCAGCACCACCAACCAACCGCAGTTCATAATCCAGGGAATACCTGCCATCCAGGGGGTGAACCTGGCGGAGCTGCTGAACAAGGCTAACGCAGGTGAGATCAGAAACTTCACTGTTTAAACTCTAATGAACCCAAAGTGTGAAAAGGTTTACGTCTGGGGTGCTCAAGGTGCGGTCTGTGGGCCGTTTCTGGCCCGTGGACTGATTCTGTGCGGGCCTCAACTGCAGTTCAAAAAAATACAAATCTGAACCCGTCCAGCACAGATGGTTGATCTGATACAGATGGAGACTTTTTAGTAATTTTATAAAATTGTTAATATAATTTTCTTATAATCGAAAATGTAAAGTACGACACAAAGTACTCGTCTTTGTATTGGAACAATAAACTTTCACTGAACCCAAATCCGCTTTAATTTATTAAACTTGGCTAAAAATAGCAAACATTTTGAAAGAAAGTGATATAATCCTGTTTTTAATAAATTTATTTAATCAAGTTCAAAAGAAACTGAAAACTAGATTTTTAATGCATAAATTTGAAAAGTCCTTGTTAGATTTGTGCCTCATATTTAGTCTAGATTTAAGTTTATTTTATTATTTATCTATTATTACCAGTAATGTGTTTTTTGTGGTATTTTTTAAACGTACTTGTTGCACATTGTTGCCTTTGTGCAATGACAGAAACTAGTAAAATCTCTCTTGCTGGGAAAAAATCAGGCTTCTTTATTTGCTTCATGTTAGTTTTTATAAATATTTTCTTGACCTGTGAGTGCTTTCGATTTAAAGTTTGAGATGTATTAATATTTGTTTCAGCTGGTTGTAAAGTCAGAGCCTCCAGTTGAAGCGATCTCTCTCTCTGAAATGTTTCTGCTCTGCAGGAGAGTCAGAGGAGGCGATGGCAGCCAGTGCTCTGGACTCCAACATCCAGCATACCGCAGTGGTGAATGAGAGCGGCCAGCGGGTCATCACGATCGTAACGGACCAACATGGCAACCTTCAGACCACGGGGGGGATGTCCCAGCCCTTCTTTGTCACGATGCAGCACGGACAGCAGAGTAAGTCCCAGACTGAGGGCTGGAGGCTGCGGGACCATTTATGCGCCGATAATTATTATTAGTTTGTTTTTTTTCTGTTAGTGCTCGCAGTGCCGGCCAACACTGTGACAGAGGAAGTGGTAACGGAGGAGCCGCAACCTCCGCCCTCCAGGAAGAGGAAGCTGGAGGTGACCAACAACCACAACGACACAGGAGAGACTGTGAGTACTTCCTGTTCATGTAGCTGAATTACATTTAAAACAGGGCTATTACAAAGCAAAAGACATTTTCATCACATCTGTCTGTCTGTTTGAGGTGATTTAATTCAATTCAATGGTGAAACTGTTCCTCTAGATTTCTTATTATAAAGCAGGGAATTCTGGGTAAATACAACCAAAACTAATACAAGCGTCTAGTGCTAGCGGCAGAAATGGCTCATAGTCTTTTGCCAGAGACAAAAGAGAAATCTTACAACCTGTAAAATCTGACGCCACGCCATTTTTGTTTACACTTTATGAAGAAGAAAGTTGAGTTCTTGTCTTCTTCAGAGGTTCTTATGTTGTTTCCTTCTGTAGTTCATGGTACAGTGCCCCCACTGGAGAGGAGGGGAACCGTTTTTTAAAATTAATTTGGATTGTTTGACAGTGTGAAATAGAAACACAGCAGCTGAAAATTTAACAAATGTTGTGAATTTGGTCCCCAATCAAACCGAGCCTACCTAACTGTCAGGTGTGAAAACCTCCTTAATCTAATAAAAAATATTTATCTGGATGTACGTTACATAAATCATGGTCAGTAAATAATTCAAATTTATTGAACAAACTGTATTTCTGTTATCAATACATTTATTTTTGAGATATTAAAGGCTAAATTGAACTTGCCCAAGTACAGTACCTTGTGGAACACCGAAACTGACTGACTGGTGAATGTGGAGAAATTAATACAAAACAGAAAACAAACTTTGGATTATCTGGTACTGTTGGGATTTTCTGTATATGATTCAAAACTACCAACTTACATCTGGATTTAAAAGTTCTGTTCACTGAGCCTCACGGATCGGGATAGTTCGGTTCGCCATTTTGTCTGTTTTCATTGTAAAGGTTTCTTCTTCGCTCTTCAGGAGTTGCTGCAGAGACAGCTGCAGGAAGCTAACAGGAAGGCTCAGGAGTACCGACAGCAGCTCCTCCGTAAGGAGCAGGAAGCCGAGGAATACCGCATGAAGCTGGAGGCCATGGCTCAGAGTCAGGCCAACACCAGCAACGGCAACGCCGCGGCCGGCGCCAACGCCGCCAGCCCGGAGGAAGTGGTGGGAGAGGAGGACGAGGAGGAGGGTGCCACCGGCGTAGTGGAGGAGGAAGGAGAGATGGTGGTGCTGCAGGAAGGGGGAATCATCATGGAAGGGGAGGAAGGTCAGGTGACGCTGGTGGAGACGGGCGGCGAGGCGACGCAGGTCAGCTCCTAACGCAGGAGGAGACGCATCGTAACAGGAGGCGGCTGATAGGACTCATTTAACTGTGACTAAGGGAAGGAGCTGACTCACCACAGGAAGTACAGAGCATCCGAGTCGAGATGGATTCCTTACAGACAGTCGGACCAACCAGGAAGTTCAGCTCTGCTTCATTTTAAACCCCTGAATGACCGGACGCTAACAGATCAGCTGACTGTCGCTTCGATGCGATCAACAGAAAGGGAAAAGATGCTGAGCTGACATGGACCTTCATGTCGTGTTTGCTTTACGTTGTCATCCGTCTGCGAAGTTCAATGTGAGGAAACGTGGGAACGATTCGGCACAGAGATGGACGTTTCTGTTCCTGATAGAACTACAATCTGCTTCCCTTTTCAAAATGTGACGCAACAGAAACGTAGACCTTTAGTTTGTCCTAATTAAAGTTTGAACATCAGAGAATAAGAGCCACTCTAGGAAATAAAAAAATATAAAATCACCAGATTAAAGTCATAACATTATGTGAATAAAGCTAAAATAATACAATAATAGAGTCATGATATTATAAGATTAAACTCATATGACAAGTATAAAGTCAAAATGAAACAAAAATAAATGTGAAATAATACAGGAATAAAGACAAAATAATATGAGAATAAAGTCGTACCAGAATAGATTTAACATTACATGAGAATAAAGTCGAAGTAATAAAAGTATAAAGTCATAATATTACCATTTTATTGTGGTAATATTTTGACTTTATTCATAATTTAGAATTTATCTTCATATTATTTTGATTTAGTTTTTGTAATAAAATGAATTGTTCTCATTTCAGGACTTTATTCTTGTATTACTTTGACTTATTTAAGGTAGTATAACTTCATTCTCGGATCATAATGACTTTGATCTTGTAATTTTATGACTATCATTTCAACTTTATATTATTTTGACTTTATGCTCCTTATATTATGACTTTATGCTCATAGTTTTAAGTTTTATTAATGTTTTTTTTCTTGGCGTGCCCCTAATACTCTGTAAGTATGTCCTCTTTTTGAAGGCCAATAACTATACCATCAGACCCATTTGTTTTCTTTTTTTAAACGTATATTATGTTCTGTTTTTGTCGTTTAATTTAGTGAATCCCAAAGTTAACTTAGACCTCATGTGGCCATAACTGAAAGATTATCGAGACACTGCAGTGATTCCTTCTAATGTGAGCTACATTTTAGGTGTGTTTGGAGGGAATTTCATCATATTCAACGTGAAATTCAGATATGTCATCACCGCAAAAACACAAAACCTTACCAAGCAGTTTGAGTTTTGGTCTAGTTTTTTGTGTAAATTGCTTAGTACACTTGAAACAAAACTAACTTTTAAATAATTTTTAAAAAGATTTAAGAGCTTGTTTAACATTGATAAAAAATAGAAGTTTCACCAGCTGATTATTTTACTTTTAACCTGGAAAAAATATCCTGTTATAAGTGAAATAATACTACTACTACTCTGTTTTACCTGTAACTTAGTTTTGTCTTATTTCAAGCGTTCCAAGATATTTACACCAGAAACTAGACCAAAAATACTTGGTATGTTTTATGTTTTTGCCATAATTTAATCCATTATACTGCAATATTAAATCATTTAATGCCAAACTAACTTTGCAGTTACACAGATATTTTATTACATGTTTACTCTAAAAGAGTAAACATATACAGTCCAAAACCAGTTCAAATATTTTAATTATACCTCGAGTTATTCGGTTTTCTTCTGTGCAGTAGACCAACAAGCTGTCGAAAGGTAAGCCCTAAATTGTTGTGTATGTTAAAGGTGAACCCAGATTAACTGTTACAGGCAGGAAAAGAGGTTTTTTCCCTCGAGAAGCTGAAAAATACTTGATGTCTCATACTGTCAGCGTGCATTCTCCCCCTTATCTTTCATCTTTATCCAATTCTGCAGTGTTGTCTGCGGTTCTGGTTTGGAACCAACTCTGTGACAAACAGCAGCACAGTGATTCTGAAGGCCTGATGCATTCATTTTTGAGGCTTTGGGAGGGTCTGGATGTTGGCTGTAAGCTTGATTATGCTGCAAAAATAAAATCATAACAAGTACGTTTGGTCTAATTTCTAGAGGAAATATCCAAGTACACTTTAAATAAGGAAAATCTCATGTTTGAGCAAAATACATCCAATTTCTTTAATATTGATTAATGAAAGTACTCGTTCGATTGTCAAATTATTTCATTTATAAAGATACTGTTATAAATTAAAACTATTTATAAGAAATAAATATAAATACTGGAAGTACCAATTTCAATCTGCCAGTGGAATTGGTACTTTTTCATCTATATTAACTAATGCTGTCTTGCTTAAAAGTTATTTGTAATTTAGTTTGTCTTATTTGAAGTCTACTGGAATATTTACACTAAAAACTGGACAACTGATACTTATGATTTTGCATTTTTGCAGTATGATTTGTGTTGAAACTCATTGTTTTGTTATTTTTATCACAATGGTTAACATCAGAGATGCACTGATCAGGCTCTTTGGCCATTTGTGGTTCAGATTTTGACCAATTTCTTTTTCTTTTTTTTTTACACATAAAAGTGAAAATGTGTATTTTAATTATTGCTAAGCTGCAAATGACATGTTTGTGGTTAATCATTTCTCAACCAAGAAATGGGGGAGTTCTGTGTTTTGAATTAAAGAATAGATCAGATCTGCTGATCAGAGCTTATTGGGGAAATATCGGCTGAGTCCAACCCGATTGGTGCATCTCTGAAATTTGTAAAAGGGCATCAACTTTCTCATCTCAGTTAAATCTACAGATCATTACTGCCACAAATTGAAGCAGAACAACTTGTTTCCAACTTTACAGTTTGCAAAAAAAAAAAAAAAGTTGTGGAACAATCCTGCAGTAAAATAAAGTACCACTAACCCTACTTATTACTGTTTAGGATTTTCCTTGCAAAAAATATAAATTTTTCTCTCAATTAGTTAGTAAAAACGTAATAAATTAAATTCATGTGCACCTACAGGAACCTTTCGAACATGAAGGAGTTTACAGTTAGGTTGGAGATGAATCCCCTGAAGCCAAACGTGCTTCCAGTCCGTGTTCCTGAACTTCACTGCACTCGGATCGATCACATGTATTCTCTCAGCTGCCTGCCACCCCCCACTTCTCCTTCAACCTGAGACTAGCTGTTGTTTGTGTTATAGTTATTTTTATAAGCTTTGCAAAACCAACCCTTTTCTATGTACATACAAAAGTTGTATTTTTTTAACTTTACCTACTGGCTTCTCTGTGACATTGATGATGATGATGATGATGATGATGGCTGCCTGCAATTAAATATAAACTTCTTTTTTGTTTTCGGAGAACGTCTTCGTTGTGTCTTTGAGATTTCAAAGCGATTATAACCATACATAGTTTGCTTCATTTATTTATGAGCTCAATAGTTTTTGGAGCACAGTGTAGCTCTGTAGTTTAGCATTGGTCATGATATTTTTGTAAAAAAAATTTATTTGTAAATAGATTTGCTTTTTTTTTTAAACTAATTTTTATTATGTTCTTTTTCAATAAACTTTGTGACATTTAAAGTAACACAATATATGGCAAGATAATTTTTGGGGAAGAAATCCCAATATACATTGCATATATATTGAAATTTAATGTTGGTAGAGTTCCCCAAATTTTCATTTAATTAATATTTATTATCTTTGAAATAGAAACAGGCCCATAGCATCATAGATCCTCTACCATACCTAACAATAATTTTCAACATAGTTACCGATTATTTTAACCCACAGACACATTTTTATGCCAATTATCTGATTATTGTGGTATTTGAGAAAAGTCCCACTTCAAAATCCATGTTTATGTTTGATGATGGGACAAAAAAGGCTTTTTTCTGCCATTGATCCCAAACAATCATTTGGTAAATAAAGGTTTTCTAATAAACTGATTCTGAGAAGTTACAACAGCATGCTTATAAGTCTTTTTTTGTTGTTGTTTTTTTTATTTCCTTACCACCACTGTCTCTGAATGGTGGTATGATAAAAATATATCATCATCCAGCCTAGTAGTCAGTTGTCATGTCACATTTATAATACAGGGAAAGAGAAAGCCTTGGATTACTACAAGTTGCTGATATAAGTATCTATAAACTGATCAATTAAAAAAAATTGATGTGTTAGTGGAAAAACCTCCATATACATTAGTTATACTAGGATTGTTAGGGGCACCAACTATTGAGCTACTCAGTAATGTGAATAAATATTTTCTTTTAAAAATATATATTTTGGATATTCTTACATTTGTTGGGATAATATATTAATAAGATATATATTTAAAAAAACACATTCAGCAAAAATGTTGGTAAAAATTACTTCAATATTATTTTAATTGATTGACTAGATCGACAACCCTGACAAATTTAAAAATGTCACCCGCATCCAATACTACAACTCCTACGCCTTTTAAGCCATCCAGACAGAGGATTATTATACCGATGATCGTGATTGACGTCTCTATCGACCAATCAGAAGCGAGAAAAACAGGGACGGCCAACCCCGTTCTTTCGGTGGGCGGGGCAGTAGTGGAGGGGGCAGGGCGCAAGTTATCATGGAGGATCAGTAGGCAACTTGCGGCCAACAGAGAAGGGCAGCTACCCGTCTGATCCCCGGGACTTTTCTCAACTGCTCAGCGCTCGGTTCTAAACAACCACACGTCACAGTTAAACATGGATATGAAGAAGAGGATTACTTTAGAGCTGCGGAACCGAAGCCCAGCAGAGGTAAGCGACTTAGACTGTAATAAGGTGGTAATTGTTGTCCGTGATGCGCGTCCGGAGCCCGGACCTTGCTTCTCGCCTTTCAGCACTTACTTACTCCCTTTATTGAGTTGGAGCGGGCTAATCGCAAGCTAAACTATATTTATCGACGCGCTGACAGTATGAGTTAGAGCCCAGCTCGTTATAGTTGTTTGAGGTATATGTGGAGCATCTTACGGGGTTCCTCGGTCGTACCGCCCCCTGCTCTCCGACAAAATTCCATCTCTCACTCCGGCTCAACGGTCGATACACGCTGCTAATTCCTTCAACTTGTTCGGCTTTAACTTTTCCCACCGTGTCTGCTCCTCGGGGAAACTCCTCTTTTGAAAAAATAATATTATTCGTGTTCAATCTGCTTTTCCTGGAGTACGGTGTGGGTGAACAACAACTCATCTGATGTCCGTTATAGCCTCGCTCGTCCTTTATGAGCGGACATTTTTAAGTCGCCGCCGCTTTAAACTTCGACGACATTGTCTTACTGCAGACTTTCTTTCAACAGGTCCGGTAACCCCACGCAATGTTCATTTTAATCCACAGTCAAATTATTGTGTTTTTGAGTCTTTTTTTTTTTTTTTTTTTTTGCGGTGGTTTCGGTTCGACCCAGCTCGCTGGCGCGCAAAGGTCGGTCACAGGCGGCGCGGCGGAGCGGTAACGCGTTACCGACCTGCCGCTACAGAAAGCCGATTAGCTTTCGTGTCGAGCGGAATTTTCGACGACGACGGCGAAAATGTCGACTCGGTGACCTACAGATACCGGTCACAGCAAGGCGGCGTTACACCGCGGTATCGTGGCCACCAGGTAACCGGGGGGTTCGGCGACGGAATGAGGACGACGTAACGGAACAAGATGGCGTTACACCTGAGCCGTTAGAGTACAAGAAATGAGATTACTGTGTGCTCTCGAGGAGCTACGGGAAAGCTGCGAGCGCAGATATTGGTGTGCCCGGTTGTGTCGACTGTTCCCATAAACCGGGTCTTTAAAGCTGCATGCATGCGCGCGCGCGTGTGTGTGTGTATTATATAACCAGCAGCTCAGGTTAAATAATGCTCCAAGTTAATTTACTTGAACAGATGAAACGCTGCGGTCATGTTTTATAAATTGGGGGAAGCCGGCAGATGGTTAATGCAGAGAAACCTCCACCTCCTCCTCCTCTTCCTGCAGCACTCTGCATGCAGATTACAGTGGGTTAAACCCTGCACACTCACAGCGCAGATGATGATGGAGCTGCAGGCTGATGCTCTGCTCAGGCTCTTACGTTATATAAGGCTTGGAAGACTAAAGGACTCTGGGAAATAAAACCAGCTACTAGTCAGAGTAAAACCAGTTGTCTCATCAATACAACAAGAACTACACTGACCCATTTATTTTGTTATTTATGTACGGTAAACACAGGTATAGTTAAAGCTGCAGTATGTAACTTTCATAAAAATGTTGTTCTTTTACATATTTGTTAAAACTATCACCATGTCATGACAGTATAATCTGAGACATATATTCAGTGAACAGATCGATCTCCTCCACATTGCTATTATCATCTGAAGAAATGCACCGCTCCCAATCAGAGCCAGGAGGAGGGTCTTAGCGCTGTCAATCAATCTCACGTACTGCTAAGTGTGCTAAAGGGGGAGAAATAACTTGCCATGACAGGAAAATTAATCTGCTATCACTGGTGGCCATCCTAACTGGCCTGAGTACTCACTACATAGGAGGAGCAGCAACACAGAATGATTGGCAGCGCTAAGACCCACCCCCTGGCTTTGATTGGTTGTTTCTAGTTGGCTCTGGGACAAGGCTAGATTTTTCACAGATTATCTCTCATATTATGCAATCATGACATAGTGACAGTTTCAACAAATATACAAAAATATTTTATTTTATAAAAGTTACATACTACAGCTTTAATAGAGACCCTGATATTTAAACTCCATAGGCCTTCCTCTTCCTTCTCCTCTTCCTCCCGGCTCATTATTATTATTAAATATGTATCACATAATTCAAAAATAAATATAAAATCGAATTTAATAAAAACTAAAAACTCAAATAGGTCAGTGTAAAAATACATTAGAATATAAGTTAATTTTTTTATTATTATTATTTCCATTTTATTATATGTTAATGATTAGATATTGAACAAAATAAACATAAGAATTTCAATTATAATATAATAATAATTATTAATAATTAATTATTAATAATTATATAACAAATATAAATGCAAAATATATGTTTTTAGATGTAAATGCAAAATAAATAAATTAATTTATAAATAGAAATAAAACTTACTTAATTATATAAAAGTAAGGCATGTGCCTTTTTTAATTGTTTTGTTTTCTGATCAATTAATTTTTAATTAATTATTGTTTAATATTGTCATAAATTAACATGAACCAGTTTAGTGTAATAGTTTATAAATTAATTGACAAATGAATATGAATTAATGATCATTATTTATGCTGTTTTCTATCATAAGTTTTGCTCAATCTGAAACAAATTGTATGAAAACATTCTGATCCATTTGCAGTTCTGCTGTTTTTGGTCAACATAGAAATTCAGATTTCTAATCGGTGGGCTTGTCTTTGCTGTTTCAGATTGTGGAGTTGGTTGTGGACAACAGTCGGTCTGCCGATGGCGAGGTCGAAGGTCTGACAGACGAGTTCACAGAGCTGGAGTTTCTCAGCGTGGTCAACGTCGGTCTGAGCTCACTGGCGAAGCTGCCTTCACTGCCCAAACTACGGAAGGTAAGCCCACCTCACCTGTCACCTGAACCACAAACCTTTACACTCTGACATTCAGATCTAAGTTTAAACTGAGAGATTTAAATTTTTCAGAGAATCAATATAGTTAAAAAATGCAGAATTAATTGAAATAGTTCAGAAATGTCTCAAGGTGGCAGAGGGGGAATGAAGCATTTTGTGTCTGTTTTTGTGTTGACATGTAGTTCACCTGTTAGTCCACCAGGTGTCGCCAATGTGTTTGTCTCAAACCCAAAACTAAACAATGATCTTTCAGGTGACTAGTTTCTCTGTCACCTGTTTCACTGGTAACATGAATAAAAATATAATTTGAGCAAAGATTTATAATTTTTACGGTTTTTTTTTTTTTAGTTTCAGCTTGTTATCCAACTTTCTCAAGAAGGATTATATAAACCTTGTACCTTTTCATGTATGGAAAACAAATTAGTTGATGACTAATTTAAAAAAATCAATCCTTTATGTATTGACAAAACTGCAAAGAACCCAAGATATTAAAAAAATAAACTTTTTTATCATTTGTATTTCACAATTATATCAACTTTGAAACATTAGCAAATCTGTACTTAACTGAATTACTTTAAGCTAGGTTGTTGTATATTTATTTTCAGTTTGTAGATAAAATAAACTCATCCAGACTGGTCTGCTGTTGTAACATTTTAGTTAAAGATTTTTCTTATCTGTGATTTTCAGCTCTATAAAACTCTGTTTCTGAATGTAGGCTCTGGCAGGAATGTCTGCATGAAGTTATTTTTCATTTTCCTCTTAGTTGGAGCTAAGTGACAACAACTTATCGGGGTCTCTGGAGACTCTAGCACAGAAATGTCCCAACCTGACCTACCTCAACCTGAGCGGGAACAAGATTAAAGAGCTGAGCACGTTGGAGGCGCTGGTCAGTTACCTCGTGTAGTTTGGTTCGTTTTAGTTTATTATTATTAGGAGAGTCTTACTTTGTGACATTTCCTGCTGCAGCAAAACCTGAAGAGCCTGCAGAGTCTGGACCTGTTTAACTGTGAGATCACCTCTCTGGAGGATTACAGGGAGAGCGTGTTCGAGCTGCTGCCTCAGGTGACTTACCTGGACGGCTTCGACCAGGAGGACAACGAGGCGCCAGACTCTGAGGCCGACGACGAAGGTGAGAGGATGACCAAGATGAACGAACCCAGGCCCGGTTTGATGGACCGAAACAACTCAGCGCCACAGAAGAGGGCCAGGGCCACCAGAGCAGAAAAACATGTTAAAAAACTCTTACTTTAATCTCAGAACTCTAACTTTTTCACAGAAATCTTATATTTTTCCCTAAATTTAGTCTTTTCCTCACAATTTTGACATTTTTACAGGAATTCTGATTTTTAATCTCAAAATTTAAACATTTTTCTCATAATTTTTACTTTTTCAAATCATTTTGACTCATCAGAATTTGTACTTTTTTCTCAGACTTCAGATTTTAATCTAAATTCTGAGAAATTCATATTAAAATCTGAATTTTATCTTAATTGTTACTTTTTTGTCAGTATTTTGACTTTAACTTAAGAATTTTGGCTTTTTTTCACATAATTTTAACTCTTTTGGTAGTGATTTTGACTTCAGACTTTAAATTTTGCCTTTTTCTTAGAATTCTAACTTTAATCTGTTAAAATTCAAATCTACAAAGCAGATTTGGGACGGGTTTTCAAGGATTTGCAAAAAAAGTGCCGGTTTGCAAATCCTCCAACAAGAAAGAAACTATTATGTGATAATTTTGCACACACAAATGACATAATTGAAGAATGTTTGATTACTTATTTGAATTTAGGTGAAGGTTGACAGAATTAGAATGAGTTTAAACTCAAAACCCTGATAAAAATGTCAGATTTGTTTTATTGTCCCTCATCCTCTTCCGTACGGTCCTACCCTTCTGCTTCGTGGGAATGTTTCTCTCTGCATGCGATCAAAAACGCTCAGTGTTGCTCTCCGCTTACAGACGAGGACGGCGAGGACCGGGCGGGGCCGACCGGCGACTACGGGGAGGAGGATGACGAAGAGGAGGATGAGGATGGCTCAGAGGGAAGAGAGGTGGGGCTGAGCTTTCAGGTGAACCAGGCCAATCAGGTGGGCAACTCGCCTCTGAAACCTCAGGATTCATAGCAGCCCTCCATCCCTCCCATCCCATCATGCAGCAGAGAACAGAGCCTTGCATCAGAGCTGCTGCTGGTTCTGTTAGACCCGCTCCAGTTAGATGGACTCACCTCAGGCATAGTGTTGTTGTGGACCCAGTTCAGCACCAGAACAACCACCACTGACGGTCCACACTGCAAAAACAGAAAAGTATTTTTGGTCTAGTTTCTAGTTTGAGTATCTTATGATGCTTGAAATGAATTAAAACTTAATTACACATGTGAGCTTGTTCTAACTCAGTAATAAGTTCTGGTTCCACTGGAAGATTATTTCACTTATAATATGAGAAAAATGTCTTGGTTCCCTCTGAGCGATAAATCAATTTGATCAATTGATCAAAGATTCAATGTTTGGAAAATAGCGATTTTTTTTTCACCATCACAGACTCCTTCGGTTCTGTGATGTCATCACGCCCAGGGCGGCGGCCGTTTTGTTTTCTATTTAATTTTGAGTTCAGGTGAACTCTGCAATAAACTATTATGACTTTATCGTGGAAATATAAAGTCATAATATTGCTAGAATGCTGTTTTAGGGCAAAAGAGTTTAAATAATGAGAGAATTAAGTGTTAATGTTATTAGAATAAAGTTGAATTTTTAGGAAAATGAATAAATTATTTTATGAGAACACAAAAATAAAAAGATTAATTATAATAAGGAATGTAGAGAGAAGTTACACTAAAGTAATTTTCACAAATAAGAAAATGCTTCACATTTTAATAGATCATAATAAAATTATTATGAGTAGCAGGAAAAACTGACAAACCACTTGGGCTGATATGGTCAGGAAGACTTTATCATAGCTTTTCTCATTAAAACAACTTTATTCTGGTAAAACGGAATCTTCATCCTGCTAATATTATCATTTTATTCTGAATCAACTAAAAACTTTAATCTGGCTCTAATTCTTTGCTGTTCAACTCACAGAAGAGACGACTGCAACAAAAAATCCTTTTTGAAAGAATTTTCTGCCATTTTCTTTCTAGAAAAGAAAACGAGAAACAAGTTGATTAAAATCAGATCTGGGATAAAAAAATCTGAGATGTTATTTTTAAGCCACATCTCCTTAGTCTTATATCTACCAGTGGAAGTAATATTTTCTAAATCAATTGTAAGGAATTATTGACTTAAAACAAGCTCCTATTTCTTGCTGAAAAGTTACTTGTAAGTTAGTTTTGTCTTATTAGAAGTGTGCTAATCTGTGCACCAGAATAAAGACCATAAACATTTGGTAATATTTTGTGTTTTTGCAGTGCGTTTTAAAGTTATTTCTTAACTCTCATCCAGTCAGAGTTGGTTTGATGGTCGTTGACTCGGCCTCCATGTCGTCCTGACAAATAGACAAAGAGCCTCATTAGTGTCGTCCAATCAGAAACATCTAACGGTTTTAACGTCACTTTAAAGTTTTTAAATTTCTCTCCATCTCTTTTTGTGTCTGCTCTTCGTTTCAGGAAGATTACGAGGATGAGGATGACTATGCAGAGGAGGAAGGTGAGGATCCTGCAGCTGGTTCAAGTTGAAGCTTTTATTATTTTTACTGGAATTGTGATTGAGACAAAGTGGAACTTCTTCAATCTTCTTCATGAAAGAGTGTTTTTTTAATTTTATATGTAAAATTATTAATTTTTTGTTAATTTTTGGCTTAATTACTGCTCTGAAAATATTCTTTAAACAAATGGCTTCCTTTGAATCTGTATATTTCAGTTAATTATGAAACTAGTTTAGCATTATTTCAGTAATTGATTAATCATGATTGATTCAGTCCTGATGTGGGGTACACCACGGCTCATTCTTGGGCCCTTTTTTGCTATTTTACCTATGAAAGTTTTTTTTTATTAATTTAAATGCAAAATGTTTATATTTTTTTGCTCAGTTTTGGCATAATTGTTCTGGGTTTGACTGGATTGTTCTTTCAGAAAATGACTTCAATTGACTCTGTGTGCTCCAGTTAACGATTAATTGATTACCAAATTAGCGAATGATTATTTCAGTAGTCGATTAATCATGATTAAACCAATTAACGGTTTTCATACTGTGACAACATGAGCGCATCTTTATGGGCTGAATGCTTTTTAAAGCTCTGTGTCCTGTCTGCAGAGGAGCAGCAGGGCGCTCAGGGACAGAAGAGGAAGAGAGACGTAGACGATGAAGGCGACGACGACGATGACGACGAGGACAACTAGTTGTCGTCTGCGTGTCGTCCCGCCCCATCTGGACCCAACCTCCACCAAGCAGCAGCCGCGGCGCTGCGACCCGAGATAGTTGGTTTCAGTTTGTTAGAGAGTCACTCGTTTTTTAGATGAAATTATATTTAAAGAGAAAGAGATTTGGTGTGAACTTTACCTGTTGGTTCCAGCTGAAGACTCCACACGTTTCCCTTTAACAAAAACAAAGAAAGAAAGAAAAGAAAACCTGCTTCAGGGTCAAACCCAATGTTCGCCCACAACCAGAACCCCCTGATCCAACGGCGCCTCTGGCCAGCTGAGGTTCTGCTTTCCTCATGCTGCTGCCAATTTCAATGTCCAAGCACAGAAACCCGCTAAATACGCCTCTCGCAAATCTTCAGGGAAAACTTTTAAACCGAGAGCTGACCGCTCCCAAACACAGACAATATGAGAGATTCCTGTCCACATCCGTAACTCCAGGTTGTTTTATTACAGAGCTGCTCAAAAGTTAAAAAAAAAACAAAAACTCTGAAAACAGAAACCCAGTGTGAATCATTCAGAAAACGTATTTATACTAAAATAAGCTCACATGGCCAAGACACTAAATCTTACCAAGTACTTCTGGTCGAGTTTCTAGTTCAAATATCTTAATACACTAAAAATAAGACAAAACGAACAAGCAACTTGTCAGCAAAATATAGCAGCTTATTCAGGTCATTGATTCCTAGCAACCCAGCTCTACACTTTCAGCAGGTCATTTAATTCAGTTCAATTAAAATAGATTTTATGGATCACAAAGGGAAATTAAATGTTTTTTATTTTAATGCTTTAATTTTTCCCCATATTTCAAGTGAAATAATCTGACAACTGAACGTTTTAAGGAAATACTTACTAAAAACAAGCTCATATTTCTTGCTGAAAAGTTATTTGCAAGTTAGTTTTATGACATTTGAAGTGCACTAGAAACTAGGCCAAATATACTGGAGCTAAATGCTGCTTTCTATTGGAATAATTTAGTATTTTAATAAAAATTATATTTATTCATCTCTCCGTCTGATTGGAAGTTGCTGATTTATTTTCAAACCTCTAAATCATGAGTGTCCAAACTTTTTGTCACATCCAAATTAATCGCAGGCCAAATATCATTTTTAAAAAAACTATAATCACCAAAAATTTGATTTATTTTTAACATATTCATCAATAAAAGAAACCCCATCGAATTAAACAAAGTAATCAGATTTTTTTTATAGGAACAGGATAGCAGATCAAATTGTTTTTGTATGTTTTCCCTGCCATTTTTAAAACTTATTAATTTATTTGGTGGCACATTAATTAACATTTTTCATAAACTTTGCCAGAATTATGCTTGATATCTATCCTCCTGCTGAAAACAAACAAAACAATGTTAAAGTAACTAAACAATGCACATTATGTCAATAAATACAATCAGTAAATACAAGACAATTATTATTAAAAAATTATAAGAAATATTTCAAATGAAATAAATGTAAGTAAATTAATGAAAGGCATCTATTATTTTAGGCTCAACTGAAGAAAACAAAAAAAATATTTTTTTATGTTCTCAGGATAAAAACAGGATGGAAACTCTTGCTGTCAGGTGAAATTTAGAGAATAAGTGAATGATGTGGTTCTCGTTATTATGACAACACTTTGTGTTGCAGTGAACAGTTTTTAGGTAGATTTTAATTCAAAAGCCATAGGTTTGTCCTAATTTATTTAATAAATTCTTTAATTGTGGTCGGGGTTGGACCGCAAAAAAATCAGTTCCAGGGGCCACAAACGGCCCCCGGACCTTATTTTGAACTCCCTTACTCTACATTATGTCTAAATCTTTGCAATTTTCCTGTTTCAAATGATCCTGCAGCAACAAAACCCACAGAAACTCTTTTAAAAATAAACTTCAGAGCTGATTGGTGGCGCAGCTGGTTCCCCGTCAGAACCCTTCAGGGAAGCCATGTTTGTCAGGTCAGAACCGCGTAGATCCAGCCATGTCCGCTCCTCTCCAGGTAGTGATAGGAAGACCTGCTGCTCCTCAGGTCCACACAAGCAGACCCTGTCCTTTCGGTGTGTGTTTGACTCGTTGTACGTCGTTTTTTGTGCTAGAGTGGAAGGAAATCTTAGATTTGTGGGTTTTCTTTGATTTGAGTGTTTTATTGTTTTCTTAATGTGTTTTTTTCTTCTTCTTGGTTTATGTTGTTTTGAATCAGCAGCTGTTAATATTTTTAAAGCGAGCGGCTCGTTGTTTGTTTTTTTAACTGTCAGATCACCATGATGTCACAGCTCAGGCTCCGCCCACTTCCGGTTCTCATGTTCAGATTTTAACATCCTTGACTCCTTTCCTCGCCTCCTCAGGCTCTCTTTATTGTAATCAGAAGGGGGCGCTGTGGAGCAACAAAGTGTCAAACCAACATAATTGCAATCACAAGTCTGAAAAAAAAAATATTTCCAGATTTTATTTCCTGTTTAGTATTTTAAATGTTCTTTCCTTATGTCATTCTCTTCCTCCCTCCTTGTTTTACTCGTCTGTTTCTTATTCCCTTTGTTTTTTTACAACCTTTTGTTTCTGTTTTTCTGCTTTCTTGGTTCCTGCTTCTCTTTCTTCCTTTGTTCCTTCACTGTTTTCTTCCATCTCTTCTAGGGTTTTTCTTTTCAGCTCCTCTCTTGCTTCCTTCTTTATCCCCTTCTTTTCCTCCCTTCTATCCTTTCTTCTTTACATCTTCCTTCTTTTCCCGTTTCCTTTATTGCTTTTTAATAGTTTATTTTCTTTGTTTAGATGCTCTCCTCTTCTGTTCTTTAGTTTTTTCCTTGTTCCTACTTTTCCTTGCTCACTTATTTCCTTTTCTCTCTGTCCTTCTTTTGGCTCTGCACTGTAAAAACACAAAATCTCACCAAGTGTTTTTAGTCTCATTTCTAGCAGAAATATCTTAGTATAGTTGATATAAACAAAACTAACTTTTCAGCAAATTATATGAACTTGTTTAAAGTCAATAATTTCTTAATATAGATTTTCCACTGGAAGATTATTTCACTAAAACTATGTTGTTATAAATTAAATAATCTATTAGTGGGTCTATTCCTTTCTAAATGAATTTCAAGATATTATTGACTCTGAAAAGTTAATATTTTTCACTGAAAAGTTACATATAAAGTTTTTTTCTTATTTCAACTGTACTACTATATCTGCATTAGAAGCACAAAGGTTTTCTGTTTTCTTTTCAGGTTTTTTTTCTGCAGATTTTGAAGTTTAATCCTGACCTCAGTTGTAAACATCTGCAGTAAACACAACGTGATTTATTGATTCTTCAGACACTCAATAGAGTTAATTTAAGGAGAAGTGAAGGAAGTGCAGGAAGCCTGAATTAACAAAGGGAGACATCTTTGTTTTTCTAGCCGTCATTTTAAACCAACTTAGGCTCAACCTGCTGTTTGACTTCCTGTCTGTCTGTCATTTTGTTATTTTTATGATCTCTGACAGATCAGCATTAACAGTGTTCATTAAAATCTATTTATTATGACTTCAGTTTGCTGCCGCTTTTATTATTCTTTTATGCTTTAATTTCCTCACATGATAAATATTTCAGTCAGGAAGCAACAGAAACGAGACGCCGACTAATTTTGATAAACATGTAGTCAGAAATCTGGGGAAAATAAATCTATTTTCCGGCGTTTCCACACAAACACTTTCTAAAAAGGAAACTTTATAATAAATCAGTCATCTAAATCAATCAATCAGGTTTATGTAGATGAAAACTTCCCATGTTGGTATGTTACTTTTAAACGACGTGGCGGACATATTTGTTTTCATAAAGACTCGATTACGTGTGAACAAGGCCATAGATAGCTAAATTAAAGATACATTTAGTGAACTTAGTTAAATTTTACATTTGCAGGGATAAAAAAAAAATTAGCTGATTGTTGGTAGTAATATTATTAAAACTATTGTTTAGAAAATCCTAGTTGGAATAAAAATATTTTGTCCAGACATAAATTTTAAATTTTACCCACAAATCTCTCCTGAAGTTCTTTCATGATTTGTTTTTGTTTCATCATTCCCAGATTAGCGTTAGCTGTGATACGAAGGACTGAAGCTATTCAGGGATCCAAAGTTCATTTTTCAGATGGAAGCAATTCATGCATAAGAAACTCCAACTAATCATTAAGTGCATATAAATGTAAAATACATCAACAGACTTGTCAGTAAGGAAACATTTCTGCTAAAAATTAAGCTACACTGCAAAACCACAAAATATTCCTAATTATGTTGGGTCCATTTTCTAATGCAAATATGTCAGTACACTGGAAATAATGTATAATAAACTGACTTACAAGCAAGATATAGAAGACAGTTTTAAGTATCTTCTTAATATTTATTCAATCTAAAAAAATTAAATAAAAAACTTCACCAGCAGATTATTTCACTTAAAACTGGACATGTTTCATATCTTACAATTGAAATAGTCTCTAGTACTTTTTAAAATCAATATTAAGAAATTATTGACTCAAAATAAGGTCCTATATATATATAGAATAAAATACTTTATAAGATTATGATACATAGTCATTGACATTTAAAGAAAGAAAATTAAAACACAAAAGTTTGGTTGTCATTAATTTACTAATTTCTGAGTGAAATTGTTGAATTTAATAAAAATGTGTTTCGTTATTTCTGTAGATGTTGTTCATCATTTATCCAGCAGGGGGCGGTCTTCTCTTCCTTCCTGCGTCTTCCTGCTGAGCTTTAAATTATAAATGACTTCAGCATTTTAGAAATAATATTCCAGCTGAGTGTTGGAGCAAAATAAAAGGATTTTTTCACAGCTTAGTTTCTGTTGGATCTTTTATTTCCACTCTGATGGATCCTGTTGCTGTTTTTCAAGACGTTTTCGTCTCTTTGATTTGAGCGACATTTGATCTGCAGAAGCTGCTTGAAACCAACATTAAAGCAGGAGCGAAGGGAGTGAGGAAAGGAAACAAGGAGGTGAGAACAGGACGCTAACAGTTGTGACCTCCAGCCTCCATTTTTATTCTCCTCCTCCATTTGATCCACTTTGTGAAATTTAAACAGATAAACTGTCCATTGATGGAGGCAGCAGCTGTGAACACACACACACACTAACACACTCGTCTCCTCTGGGAGCTTCCTGTCTGAGAAAACACTTCCAATAAATCAATTAATCACATGATACATTAAAACAGACTCGTTAATTTCCACGATTGTTTGTTTTCT